GATCTCGCTTCTTCCAGCCTATGAATTACTTGTTATTTATTAAAAATATAAAAATGCAGTACTTCATTGCCCCAAACAGTCAAGTTCTATCATGAATTCAATAAACATTCATAAAAGGAAAGTACAATACGTGGCATTTATGGAGCGATGCTTAAGCCTCCTCAAACATTGGGGCAAGGAATGGGCAAATACGTTGCATGCTACGCAACTCGTTTAAAGTTATATGGCCAAAGTCGGGTCGCTCTCAGAGATAAGTAATTGTGAAGTAATTGCATCACTTTTTAAAAGTAGTTTGTAATTGCAATTAATTACTTTTCACGTAGTAGTAATTGTAATTGTAGTTAAACTACTTTTGAAGCAAAGTGATTGTAATTGTAATTAAATTACATTTTGAAAGTAATTTACCCATGTATGAAGTGCAGAGCCAAAAACACTTACATTAGCGATAAACACATTGGTTACAATGGTGGGTCGCGGCATACCTAGCGTGCCCAATCCTGAGTGGGTTCGAAATTCGATAACACAAAATGGCGGAGGCAAGGTGCCACCTCCTCGTTGCCTTACTTCTAGCTGTGGTTGCTGGATTGTTGGCATCTTCAAACGAGTGCCGTACTCCCCCAGTGTAAAGGGTTCTACTTGGGCCGCGGCGGGGCGCCTCGAGGCGGCGTATACGGGCAACACCAGCCAGAAGACGAGGCCGCACTACTGACATGTTTGCGTCACAATCGAGGGACAACGCTGGAGACGTATTGGAAACCAGTGCCGCGTCAGCGCTCGGCTTCGAGTCAAGTTTGAGGCGAACTTTGACGCAATCGTCATGTCCAGTCTGTGACCAACGTAAGCCTTCGCTGATGACGACTTCTTCATCAGCACTACGGCTTTATTATCTAGGAAGTGTTGGTAAGGGTGGCCCAAGTGGGGGTTAATATTTTGTAATGAGCCATCCGGGGACTGTCGCCGCGAAGCGGCGTGACGGGGAGGTCGGGGTGGTTAACAGGCGCCCCTGTGATACACCCGCTGTACAACACTGCGCAGCGCCGAAATTAACGAAGCGGGACGTCGCCGGAGATCTTCGGTTGCTGGGTGTTGCGTCATGGCGTCGCTCCATATAACCAGCCAATCGAGTGCGGCCTCCGTTGCTACGCGTCCTATCGCCAAGCCTCTCGAAATATGCACCCCGTCACCATCTGTCGGCGCTTGCAGAAGTTGTTTCCTAGCCAGTTTCCGCAGCCAGTGGGGCCCTAGTGCCATTCCGTGGCGACGTTGCAAACTTTATATATGTGTACTCTAAACCAGCCCAAGGTCAGCGCCTGTACCAGTTCCCATATGCTGACGCATTAAAAGAAGTGTCCCGACCCGCATCTTCCCTTCGGCTGTCAGTCACTATGGGATAGGTAATCATTTCGCTTGGTAAAATAATAATAAAATAAAACATTTTAACCGCTATAAAGAAGCGTTGAGCAGTCTGTTCTAGATCATTCACCTTAAACAATTCAAGGATTTCCCGCAGGTTATCCAATAGCCCTCGTGCGCGTCAACGGGATCGAGCATTATTATGTTTATTTGTCCCGCATACTCAACTTGATTTCAAGCTACCTTGTTCACAATCCCGCGGTCTTAACGTTCAATCGACAGGACGAGGAACCCTTTCCGTGTCCCCCAATCGGGTGCCGTCCTGGCCGTAGATTAAACCCTCGGGAGTTTGGGAAGGAAGCCATTGTCGCGTTTGATGAGGAGTTTCGCCTGAGTAGAGGTCCGGAAGGCGTTCCTCCCGATCATTGAAAACTCAGGTTCAAATCGTCCGCGGAGAAGAGCAGGACCAGCGTAGGCTTTGCGAAGGGAAACAGGGAACGAAACTGACTTGGTTCATTAACAAATAGATTTGTAACATGTCTTTCAATCCACGTGCGGGGATTAGAACTAAAGTCGAAGTTTCTCAACTAACTCTCAAAAACCCATCACCGAAAAGCTGGAAAAAAAAAAAAAAAGAATCTTGTTATCAACGGTACTCGAAGCTTTCCAATGGCTCTGCAGGATTGGATGCGGAACAGTTTCTATCAAGCGAGCCGTTTTTTATGACTTGCTTTGGGAATTTCTAAAAATAGACCGTAATATATTAAAAAAAAGAATTGGCGTATGAAATCTTGGTTTGTATTTTGTTCACTTTTTTCTTTACCCTGTACATAGAAGGTAATGGTCCAAATGTGTGCGTTCTGGGTCAGGGAGTGCATGGTCGCTACCAAAACTTATATTATTGTCGCTGCTAAAATAACAAAAAGCAACAGCAACGATAGAAACGTTATTTATAAGGAAAGTAATTAAAACTTTGAAACATTTGTTGTTTGTGTCGGCTTTAGCGCAGAAATGCATGCAAGGATTCTAAGATACCTTATAGTTGTATCAAGCTTTTTGGTATACTCTTGTCTCCGCACAAGTGGTAAAGGTGGAAAGTATGGGCGCCTAAAAATAATGAAAAAATTACCCTGTAAAAGTAAACGAAATGCATATTTAGGGAATACAGAACGAGAACCAGCGATGATTTTACCTAAGACGTAAGCACCTTCCATGGCGAGAAAGAAAACTATCTTTTCGCCTGTATTGAAAGTTTTGTCGTTCGAGGTGGCGACTGTCGCATAAAAAAAATTCTATACACGATTGCAATTCAAGTATCACATTGTCGCAATCTGTCTACGCGCGTGAGAAAAGCGCGTGATTGGGAAGCGGGCCAAAGGGTCATACCTAACTCTCACGCGCATTCCGCCCGTGCTTGCGTACTTGGGTTTCGAGTTTGTAGACCACGCTTGCAACCAACGTTGCTTGCAACTGTATCTAACAAGTTGCGTAAACAACGAGCGCATACACGTAGCGTTGGAGCGAATTCATATCGCGCAAAGACAAGCTCAACCAGAATAGACTGTTATTAAGTATAATCACGTTCCCGAGAGCACGAGATCTTTACATACACTCGTTAGCTAATGCTGTGGGCAAGGACATCTACATCGTCCATCAACAACAACCTTGCTCGTGTGGAAAAAATGCGATGAATGCTTGTTGTTAGCAGCACGTGTTTGGCCGCAACACGTACAGTCAGTGATGCCCATAAATACACCCGAACTCTTCTAACCTTCCCTCTCTGTAATTCTTGAAATATTTCGAATATTTCTGAGAGAAAAAGAAATGTTCACGTATGTGCCTACCGTAAAACTAGATTCCACAATCTATTTAAATCAAACGTAGTGTGTCGCGTCATGTATGAATGAGTTCGCCATGTATGAGTTCGAAGTAGAACGGAGTAATGTGATTTTCCGGACAGCTTTTGTGCAACATACCGGTGAGCATGCTGGAGCAAATTTGTCGCATACCCGGGTACGTATACACTCCTGGCGTACGCATACCTCGAATTAGTTGCGCTATTAATAGCGCCATAGAAGTCGGAAGGCTGTAGAAACGTTATAGCCAGGAAGCGTTCATCTAGAGGAACTTTTTATTTTTGTCTTCATATTTCAAGAGAACATTTCGATGATTCAACAAAGCCTTAGACCGAGTAGCAGAAATGGGGACGACGCAACACAATGTCTGTATTGTCCCCTCTTTACAAAGTGTGTGTCGACCCGCAATTGTTGCATGGTCTCGGGTTTTCGGGATGTTTAAAAGTCCACCGGCTCCACTGTTTTTGTTTTTTTTTTTCCCGTTATTTCTGGGCAGCTATCTTGGTGACTAGAATAGCAGATTCTTTTCTCTTTCCATTATTCGTCCCCAACAACGTATGCTGGAAAAGTTCGTTTTCACCTTGAACACCTGTAAACAGCGTAATTATTCGACTGATTATTAAGTAAGACAACACTACTCAAAGTTTCTGTTTCGCAAGTGGCGATTTCTGGGTCAGGCTAAGGGGATAAGGGGGGGGGGGGGGGGGGGGCGGTTGCAGAGAGATTTGACGTTACTGACGCAGCATTGCCCATATTTATTCTAATCGTTGTCATTTGATCAAAAACTAAACATTTCTTTCTAACCAAGATGCTGGTGTATGTCGTTTACTATATGAATATATATATATATATATAATCATACAGGGTATTCCACGTAACTTGAGCCAAGGTTTAAAAATATATTGCCGAATTTTAGAAAAACGAAACCAAAAGAAAAAGTTTTTTTTTTTTCATTGTTTGGAGCAAGTCAGGCTATTTCTTGTATTTTGTCCAATTCACTAATGATTTAAGATTAATTCATTAACTATTGAAATATGGAATTTAGAGCAAAAGTTTCAAAAACAAAGTTGTAGAGCGGCCTCTGAAACTTCAATTCAGTGGTTTTTATTAAGAAACCTTAACACCTTGTTTTTATGGGCTTCGAAAAATGTTTGCAAATTATGAAAGAAAACGTGACTTTGCGCATGTTCACCTTGTATTGCAGCACCCTCAGCCATGACTTGAATAAACTAGGCATGAATGCTGAATATAGCTCTCTTGACTGGGCGCTGTTGAAAAATTCGCCCTTTTTTTTCTTCGAAATTCCGGCATTTTTTTGAAGCCCGGAAAAACAAACCGTGTTAGAGGTTTCTTGATAAAAAAAAAAACAGTGAATTGGATTATCTGAGGACACTCTATAACTTTGGCATTGTAACTTTTGCTCTAAATTGGATATTTCAAATGTTAATTATTATTCCTAATTAATTATTTAATTGGACAAAAATGCAAAAAATAGCCTCAGTTGCTCCAAACAATAAATAAACCTATTCGTTTAGTTTCGTCTTCCTAAAATGCAAAAAAAACATATTTTTAAACCTGTCTCAAGTTACATGGAATGCCCTTTCTCTCTCTCTCTCTATGTATATATATATATATATATATATAAAATAAAGTTGCACTTAAAAAACTTACGGCAACAACACCGCCCCCCCCCCCCCCCCTCCCCCACGCTTATTCAATCCGTCCCTGCTGACCACGCTCGATTGATACGCGAGGTAACCGAGTAGTTAGGAGGAAAAACGAGCCACTTACGTGGCAGCTGCGAGGGCTTCTTGCGGAGGTAGCAGTGCAGGACTGTGCAGAGTCCCTGTCGGAAGTTGTTGTTGAAGCCTCCATAGATGATCGGGTTCAGCAGACTGTTGGAGTACGCCACGTACGTGGCCACCGACGATGCCTCGGTGAACCAGTCCGGCATCTGCAGTTACAGAGGAAAAACACAGCAGGTCGTAACTGATGAAGGTCAAGGAGCGTAAAATGGTCGCTCATAGACGGTCACAAATAAAAATTTGACACCGAGAAAATATTAAAAAATTAAACAAAGAAAGAAAGGTCAATAAGCTCCAACAATTGCTTTGTGAATTATGTCTGTGTTGGTTTGCATAGATGCATAGCGTTTCATGCAGACCTACAAACCAATGAAATGAAAAAAAAAAATGAAAGACGTTTACAACTCCATGGAATGCCGAATTAGAGGGCAGCTCTTGAGGAGGAGGAGGGGAGGGTACGGAGAGGAGGGTATGCCCCTCCTCCTCCGTACCTTCTCCTCTCCTCCTCCTCCCTCCTCTCCTTCTCCTCCTCCGCGCGTTGCATTATGGGAAACGTCCCTCCGCGAGTTGTATTATGGGAAACTACCCATAATGCAACACCCGCGCTTTGCATCATGGGACGTTGCCCGTGATGCAACGCGCGGGACCCTCGTTACGTCTCGTGACGTAACGTAGCCTTCAGGGGCTTCTCATCTTAATTCAGAGAGAAAAATGGGAAACATTATAAATGTCTTCTCCCTCTGTCCTACTCGAGCTCCTGCCTACTGTCATAAACTTACGGTGGGTGCAAACACATTTTTTTTTAAGCGCGGCTTCGGTGTTCCCTTACAAAGGGTACAGGGCTGTCGCCATCGCGGCAATCTCAGTTAAGTTTTTTTTATAATTAAAGCAAAACAAAAAAACGTAAGCACTTTTTATTCATTTTATATGGTTCTTTTTTTACCTCTGTTTTAGGAACAATAGTGGGCCTTTAGTCAAGTTCCAGTTTACGCCAAAAGCTGGTGATCTGCTTCTCGACATGTTCACTGGCTCCATATTGAAGCTTTTCGCAAGCGGGGACCTTTAACTAAAGTGGAGGATTTTTATTTTTAACAATGCGTTCAAAATGTTTCTGCATATTAGAACAAGCCGAAAGAAATGCCTGCGGCCTTTCCAAGAAAAGAGGCGGTCTTTAGAACTTACAAAAAGGAAAAGGGAGGGAGGAGACTGCGCCACAAACAGCAAATGGACGATTCTTTAGTTACTTGGCTTCGTGCTGTTTCTTCTGAGTGGCTGATTTTGTTGAATCAGAAAGTAAAAGTAAGTAATAGCCAACCAGATCACGTCATTAATCTGCACCTGTCCTATTTTAGTGCTTTGGTTTAAGTCACAAAAACTGGCAATATGACGAGGTCTTGTTCTTTCGGTTGCGCAGTACAAATGAGAGGTCACAATCACATTATTGAGGGGAGTCTAAGTGGAAAGCAGAGTTCAAAAAGAAGAAAGTAAGAAACGCTACCAAAGTTGACTAAATATGTAAACAATTGTCCTAAGACATTCAATGAAGACTCTGCCATCCGGATCATCAAAACTTCCAGACAATGACTACCGAGTGTAATCCATCAATCATTCCAAAGAGATTTGCTAAAATGCTGGTCCGTCTGCTCCGTCGTTTTCGCTCACTACTACATGTGAGCGTCTGCCAGGGACCACCTAGCAATTCGTTACCATAACCACGCAGAGCAAACACTGTTTAGCACGCCGATTATACTGGCAAATAGTTACTAGGACACTTCTAACCCCGAGCGCTTACTGAAAAGCGAGTCGTGGCAGCCATTAGATTGCCGCCTTCCGTTCGCTTGTAAAGTAATTCACTTGAAGGGATCACAAAATTTCCCCCCTTTTCGAGTAATAACATTGCTCCGAAATTATACAAATGTAAAACTGTAAATATAACTTAGGCTTTGTAAAATGTACTGCCTATACCAATCATATGTAGGTGTAGTAGTAGTAGTAGTTGTTGTTGTAGTCATCATCATCATCAAAAGGGTCTCAGAACCAAGTTTGCCCCGGGGCACCGAATTTTTTTAATCCGGCTCTGCTTGTGACAGCATGATGTCAAATAGCGTTATGACGTCATACTGTGACAGCTTTATATATTAACAAAACTCTCGCAATGTGGCCTTCAGTTGCACATTGGCCTCCTTGCGCCTTCTAATGCCCAAAACTTTACTTGAAATACTGAAGATCTAGAAATCCTGACATAGTTTTACTACCTACAGAATAATAGAAATCTGGTCTCAGAAAAGAAAAATTACTTCTTGGTATGCGAATGCAAAAGGAGACAAGCGACACATAAAAACACGTCAGACGCGTCAGACACGTCCGTGTTTGACTTTTTTTTTGTGTTCATTGTCTCCTTTTGCGTTCGCATACGAAGATGCTTAACCAACACGCTCTCCTAATTCTATCTACAAAAAAGAATTACATTTTTTAGAGCGCAGCTCTTAGGGGCCCGTTCCCGGCTTGAGCGGCGTCGTCGTCGGCGTCGGCGTAACCAAGGTCACCTAAGGTCACGCGACCCCCAAGGTCACCCCAAGGTCACGTGGCCCCCAAGGTCACGTGACCCCAGAGGTCACGTGACCCCTCCCCCAGGGTCACGTGACCCCCAAGGTCACGTGACACCCAAAGTCACGTGACCCCCTGAAGTCACGTGACCACCCCCAGGGTCACGTGACCTCCCCGATGACGTCATCGATGACGTCACCGGCATCCACATCGTCATCGTCATCATCACTGATGACGTCACTGATGACCTCACCGGCATCCGCATCGTCATCGTCATCACTGATGACGTCATCAGTTACGTCACTGATGACGTCACCGGCATCCGCATCGTCGTCATCATCACGGATTACGTCATCGGAGTCCGCATCGTCATCGTCACTGATGACGTCATTAGTGACGTCACTGATGACCTCACCGGCATCCGCATCGTCATCGTCACTGCTGACGTCATTAGTGACGTCACTGATGACGTCACCGGCATCCGCATCGTCATCATCACGGATGACGTCATCAGTGACGTCACTGATGACATCATCAGCATCGTCACGTGACCCCCCAAGGTCACGTGACCCCCCCCTCCCCACGTCACTTCACCCCTCAGTACCCTTCCGTCCTCCTCCTCAAGAGCTGCGCTCTAATTCGGTGTTACAGGGAGTGGTAAACGGCTTTCACTTTTTTTTGTAATTATGTTTTTGAAATGTTGATTGGGAACAACATTGGACATTTGCAGCGTTATTTTGACCCCTATGAGTGAAAACAGTTACGGCCTGGGAGTATAGCACAGGTGCACTCCGCATTTCGAACAGTGGAGACACTTGTAACTTGATTTGCAATATTAGCGCCTGCTTTTCTTCTCAGAGTTTTAAGGTCAGTAGTGCTCGCCATCAAACCTCACATCCTGTCAGCTTTGGTTTTAAAGGGCAAGTGATCTGTTTTGAAGATACAATTCGATTCTTCACTGCGGCGCGGGTATCATTGCCCTTCCGACAGAGGGCGCTATATTTATTGAGGTGCACATGGCTTGGGAGAAATTAAATCATTCTTGAGTTGTTGCTCCTGAGCAATACTGGGCATCAAAGTGTTAGTACATATAACTCTTTGATGCCGCAGAAAGAGGAGCACAAAGAGACCTCATAAATATTATGCAGTTATAACAAAAACAAAAGCAAATTTCTTCTAAGTGAATGATTAGACGTGATTGAATTTCAAGTTAACTAACTGTATAACGGGTTACGTTACACCTAGGGTTCGGAGTTTTCGGTTTAAACCGATAAAAGTAAGCCGAATCCATTCTTTCGAATTCTGCTTTAACCGAAAATGGTTAGTTTTTTAGGGTCCCTTCGAGATGGGTGGGAGAAGAGAGAGAAGGTGTTGGAAGGTTCGACATTGTGTGACCTCTTCGTGACTGCCCTCTTCCAAGATTTAACATGCAACAAAAGAGGTCTGGGATTGGCCTTCGCGGGACATCTGTGTCCTGTCTGTGATCGGGCTTAGTGTGTCAAGTTCCCGGTCCTAAAAAAAAAAAAAAAAAAAAATTCGGGTGTGGGCTGGTATACGGTTTTTCGCTTCATGCAAGATCTGCAGTTAGAGTTTCGTGAGTACATGAAACATGTTGTGCTTCAAAATGTCGCACCGTGTCACTTTTGGTAGTCACATTTGATTTATTGGACGATTTAGGATCAGGTAGCGCTTCATCTCCTAAGCCTGCAGTGTCCAGTGCTAACGTTGAGAGGCCATTCTCGAAGCCCAGGGTCATTAACAGGAAAGCATGAGCATGGATCAACAAGGAGAACCTGGGAACGTACATATGTGTTTACTATATTAAGACCACGCAGTCCTGATGTACAGAAGGTGAAGTTCCATGTTTTTTGGGCACTGACTTGTTTGTAGTTCTGTGTTTTTTTTTTGTTTTTTTTTTATCTGTGCCGTTATATTTTGAGGGATCACGAATATCAGAGTTACAAGGATCATCTGATCCGGTTTCCGATGGTGTTTCTTTCATATTAAGCGAAAAATACCGGAAAAATTGTGTGGGAATAAATATAGACCGAAAAAAACTGAAAATTGAATCTTAAAATGAACACCGAAAAAAGTACACCGACTTTTGAAAATATAAAAACCGAAAACGCGGAACCCTAGTTACACCTTAAGATTAGCTGTGCCGGTGTGGGCTGATCAATACAAAGGTGTTATTTTTTTCTAAGACGGCGGCAAGTATTAAAAACAACGCTTAAAATCAAATGAAAAACATATTCGTGCAGAATAATCTTATCAACCGTGGCGGACGACAAGGCACGTGTAAAAATAAACAATTTCTGGATTAATTAACTCAAATTAGATAACCAACTTTTTAACTATTTTTTTTAACCCGCATATTTCGGATGGAGATCTGTACCCAGTAATTCAAACAACCGCAAAAAAAAACGGAATCGCCAGTATTCTTTTCCAAGAGTACCATAAAACTTTTTATAGCTGGTTGTAGCTCGCTTTGTCATTTTTATGGCTGACCATAGAAGACCACACGCAGTGATAGCTCGCCATGGTATTTTCCAGAATCGTCCACAGACTATTTTTGTATGGGTGTTCGAATTCGCACATCTCG